TGTATAATACGACCTCATGTATAATACGACCTCATGTATAATACGATCTCATGTATAATACGACCCCCCCTTTTTTGAGCTTAAAAAGCATAAAAAATTTAATCCTCAAACTATCTCCAATTTCATACAGACTTCAAGATTTTTCAGCCTTTGCAGTCTTTATACATATCAGTAAAATGATCATTGGACTGTTCATTTTATTTTAACAACACATGTACTAAAAGGTATTTTGACAACAAATATACTGTATATCAGCTGTAGCAGCATCATATGAATTCTGGCATTTTACACACAGTCCACCAGGAGACGCCAACACAAAAGTCAGAGACTTCACATGAGACCATCTYCAAACAGATACAAGCAGATTACTTCCTACTCGCGAGCGCCCCCTCTGGTGGGGAAACCTTTTTCAGGGATACAAACTTTTTCAGAACACCGGTAGACGGCAGCCATTACAGACGAACGTGTTTGCTGTTCGAGGAGCGGTCCGGTCACACACAAATGTCATTAGTTCGTTATCACTACTGAGCTGCAGGAATACTTCCCACCCACCCCCCTTTTTTTAACATCATGTCTCCTGATTGGATCTGTTACTATCTCGCTCTTAAGCATGGAGGAGTGTCAGAGGTGAGCTCGTTTCTACTGCTTTTTACAACGTGGTCTCATGAAGTATTAACTGAAATATCGGCAAAATTATTGAGTCCTTCCGGACTCAATAATTTTGCCGATATTTCAGTTAAAATACATAAGTAAAAATATTTATCCGAGTGTAATACTACCCCCCAACTTTATGGATGATTTTATGTATTAAATTTTATGTATTATACACGAATAAATACAGTAAGTTAATATACTGTCTTATTATACACAAATATCTGACCAATAAACACTGAAATCCTACAGAATGATCTGCTGTATTAATAAAGTAAATAAAATAACAGTTTAATGTACAGTGGGACGTTTGGAGCAAATATAAAACCATTGTCTACATCAGTGTTCCTGCAGGTCCTGTGATGATCAGTTCATTACTGTGGAGCAGAGAAACCAGGCTTGTGGAAATATTCCAAACATTTACTGATGTTTCATGAATCTGTCTGCAAATCTCCTTTTCTCCTCTTTGGATTTAGCTAAAGGCTCGTAGGGTTAGGGTTTCAGATCAGCTCCATGCTCAATGTTTTAAACTAAGATCAGGGAAACACTGCAGAGGCCCACCTTTAAGCTGTAAAGTTAAACTCGGATGTGAAACCATTAAAATACCTTCAGGAAGTGTTTGAACTGTGGACTGAGCTCCTTCAGCATGGTTGCTGCTTTGTGAAGACAAGCATGTCTCTGCCGAGCTTCAAACTCCTGAAACAAAAACATTCAACAGAGATTTCCTGACAGGTATAAAAATACGAAGCCCGTGAGGAGACATGGGGGGATTTTTTCTTTTGCGTTCCCTCGCAATACCTTTGCGTTCCCTCGCAATACTTTTGCATTCCCTCGCAATACTTTTGCGTTCCCTCACAATGCCTTTGCGTTCCCTCGCAATACCTTTGCGTTCCCTCACAATACCTTTGCGTTCCCTCACAATGCCTTTGCGTTCCCTTGCAATACCTTTGCGTTCCCTCACAATGCCTTTGCGTTCCCTTGCAATACTTTTGCATTACCTCACAATACCTTTGTGTTACCTCGCAATACTTTTGCGTTACCTCGCAATATTGTTTTGCGTTCCCACGCAAGTTTGTTTTGTATATGAACTGAATTAAATCAGACTTTTATTTTGAAATACCTGGTTACCAAAACAGGATGTGTTGCCACAAGTTTGTGAAATTGACATTGATGTTGCGTGGCTGCATCGTGTTAAAATATCGGCATATGACATACTTCCATGCGTGGTTGTGTGATGTATTCATTCTGAAGCTGAATTAAAGCTGTAGCTAACTCGCTAACGGTAAACATGTGAGTTTGGTAATAAACCGGCAGGCACAACAGTGATAAAGGACTTTTGCGAGGGAACGCAATACTTTTGCGTGGGAACGCAAAAGAAAAAAAATCCCCCATGTCCCCTCGCCGGCTCAGTATAAAAAGGCTGGTTGAAGCTGAGGTGCAGTTGCCTTGTTGTTGGACAGGTGACCCTGAGAGCTAACGTGAGTGTGCACGTCAGCTGCAGATGTGGACACATAGACTTTACAAGCTGCACAGTGAAACATCTCCACCTTGGTCATGTGATCCTTGTCCTGCAGAGCTGAGAGGAGCCAGGAGTTATTTCACTGACAGAAACTCATTAGGCTCATTTTAATTCCTCTTTAACAGAATCTGTTAAATGAGTTCACCTTGAAGTGTTTTCTCTTCTACTGCTCGGCTACAGTGACGGCTTTTATACAACATGACTTCCTGTTAGGAGAAAACACACAAGAGCATATTTCTTTATTACATTTACAGCAGCCTGAAAACGACCAGAGCCTGTATTTATCAAACTGCTTAGAGTGGAATTTAGACTTAAGTGTTTAGATTTTCTTAGATTTGCTCCTACTCTCAGACTTAAGTGTAAGTGCCAGTTATGAAAACTGAAGTCTAACTCCAGATTTATACTACATGTGTCTCCGCTCTGCTGCGCTGCAGTGCGCAGGTCACAGCTGTTCGTTTGTGTCTCAATTTACACAGCCTCCGCTCCGGTCCGACAGAGAGTGTGCAGGAAGGAGATCGCGCGATAAATCCAGTGATAAATGTTGAAGTCACAACAAAAAATAATTAATTCTGTGAAAGACAAACTCCAAACACAGCTGAAAACGTTGAAATAAAGGCTTTTGGTATCCATGGTTGAAACTGTCTCACTGTCGGCTTTCTGAAACTTCTGATTTCAAAATAAAATCCACGTGTATCGTGTGTGTACACATATGCTTCATGCTACACTCTCATTGATTATAATGGGTGTGTATTTGCTGCGGAGGTCGGACCGGAGCGGAGCGGAGATGGAACGCATGTAGTGTAAATTGGGGGTAATAATCACTTTTACTCTCCTGAAAAGTTAAGACTGCTCCAGAGAACTCTCCTCACATGATGTAATGATGGAGCGCAGGGGGGATAATGACAGAGCAGGGTTTCGTGTGTGTGTGTGTGTGTGTGTGTGTGTGTGTGTGTGTGTGTGTGTGTGTGTG